AATTGAAGGACTTCTAAATCATTGAAGCCGATAGAGGAGTTGTCATCAAACCAGGATCTTCCAACAATTATGCCAATGTCATTTAAGTTTCTAATGGTTATATCGGTGCTGTCTTTGAAGGATTGAGATGCTCTAATACTGTTGCTTTCTAATTAGTTTCTGTCTCCTCAAATGCCTACCCACCTGTTAGTAGATCATCTAATAATGCAGATATTATTAACACAATTCAAAGAATGGATACTAGAGTATATATTGATAATGTCTAATTTGATGGATACAGATTGGCTTATGATCAACACCCATAATGCAGTAATAATGCTGTCTTTAGATAAAATATTTATGCATTGGATGTGGTTGGTCAACATTACTTGACTAATACAATATGTTAAAATTGTGAATTTAATGCATTACTGTATAGTTTGAGAAATCCAAATTATGCTAAATTAGGATGGTATGGAGGTTGTGGTCAAATGGAATGCATTGGTTAAGTTAACTTCTTAATTGAAGATTAGACTGGTAGCTTCTTTGGTGAAAAAGGTTAGGCTATTGGTAATAATTCATATTTCGGTCCAAGTGCAGCATATTGCAGTAGATAAGAATAATGGAATGGATATTGGTGCCCCTTATTTAACATTGGAGTCTTGAACTTCCTTAGCACAGCACCAGATCAAAATTTAAGACTATTTTCACCAACTACTTTAATGGGATCAGGATTCAAAAATATATTGAATGCATTTGCTGAATGGAATTGGAATGGACCTGAACCTTAAAACTCCAGAGAATCCAAATTTGTTGGATTGATTTAAATCAATACTACAATCAATATGACTAATAAGGGAGAGAATCCAACAAATTCAGATTATTGGTTAAGTAAGAGAACTATCGCTGGACCAAATAATGAATGGGTGATCATTGAATTACAATTTGATGTTCCTAATATAGTGTAAGTCAGTGCCGATGGTAAATTAGTTTAACCTGGATTAACAAGAGTAATTTTATAATATAATATTTTAGATTAATTAACATATGAATTTAATGGAATACACCAATGTTTGTGGTTCAAATAATTATTTCTATGAAAATCGTACAATTCATTTTGTTGCGACAACTGGTTGCAAAGTGTCTCTTTCGATTAAAAACACCTTAATGATTTCTACTAGATTGGAAATAACTACTTAAGAATTCTTTGGAGATAAATTCTTATAATATGCATTTGCCCTTCTTGGAGATGATCCATATAATTACTTTATTGTTGGAACTTACAAATCAAAGAACAGAAGATTTTTATCTAACTTTGTTGATGTTCAATGGGCTATAATTGATAATGCTGATATAGGCACAGTTGAAGCTCAAAGTTCTCAATCAAATCTTGAATAAATTGCTGCTAATCTCCAATCGTTTAACCCTGTTGAATTAGGAACAGTCATCAGCAACACTGCGGAAATATAAACTATTAGCTCTTTGAATTTCACTTCAACTGAGCAACCTGATCCTTCTGCCAACAACTCTGGTTCACCTTCTGGTTCTAATGATCCTTATTATGGAAATGAACCAGTGAACTAAGGAGATGAAGAATACGTAGATCCGACTCTCAATGATGATCTCCTTCAACAAAATGATTATGTTGGCAATTCTAATGATGATTCAAGTGAAGAAAATGTCTTCTAAAACCAAACTAAAAAAGGACTCAAATAACCTTAAGACAATTCAAACGATAATATTTTATTGATTTCAGTTGTTTGCGCAGTGGGAGGTGTAGTTTTGATTTCATTAATCATATCTGGTGCTTTATGGAACAGAAGATAGAATGTACTTAAAACCAGAGTTCACTAATAAAGTAGCCCAGATATTCTGTCAAAACCAGAGTAAATAGATGATGACATTGTGCAATACAATATCTGAAAATGATATGATAATTTTTTGAATGTGTCATTTACCTATTAAAATTTAATTTTATAAATATAAATTAAGTATACATAAATTAATTTCTGATTGATTCATTTTTTAGAATAATTTATGCTCCAATATTTTAGTATTAATTACAAATGATGATTATTTCAACTTCCTTATAACTAAAAATATTCTAAGAATTTGTAAAATTCATCACAGATATAAGAAGAAGATATCCTAAATCTTTTAGAAATAAGTTATAAAGTTTTAGAGTTAGCTAATTAG